TTCATAGTTGCAGTGATTCTTTTACAAGAACCACTAACATATGCATTTAATTCCTATGCCTACAATTTGTCAATGTTCTTTTTCTTGTCTGCACAATGTCCTGTTTCATGCTGTTCCGGCCACAGAATCAATTGACGGGCAATTCCAAGCCCCCAAATTTATTTCTCACCATATTTCATCTTCCTCTTCCTGTTGTGCTTTTTCTCATTGATGCAAGTTCTATGTGTGATCAGATTCAAACTGTTTAGTCCACTTTTCTTCTTTATATGAGAAGAGTAGCACCATTAGCGGAACGAGGGGTTGCTCAGATGTTAAGCACTCTCCACCTCCAATCACAAGGTTGTGTGTTCGAGTCACCAAGGGAGCAGAAAAGGTGGGAGCTCCTAGGGAGTGGTAAAAAAAGGATTGCCAAAAACAAAACAAAATAGAAATGTTGGTGAATATTAACACACATACTGAACTCTTAGTAGATGATGAAGATAAGCACGATTTTTTAGATAATGAAGATGAAACAATTGTTATAAGTTCAATAAGCTAATTACCCTATTTAGATGGAAGGTCCATGAGGCTTGAAGCACAACGCGAGAAGTGAAGCGCGCAACATAGGAGAAATTAGAAAATACCAAGTATATGTGAATTTAATACTATAATAGTAAATTGATAGTAAAACTAGTTTCAGCATCCAATATACAAAGATTCTGACATTAGTCCAACTCTTCAAAATTGAGATTCAAAGTGCCAAGCACTTCTCATTTGTATCATTGTTTGAGTTACACTTTTCTCTGAAGCACATGGCTGCACCCGTGAAGGGATAACCCCTTGCTTCACATCCTGATGCAGCGTTGGCTTTTAATAGTACTGGTTGGGAGACATTTGAGCATGATTGTCTTTGCTTGACATTTCCTTGATTAATATAATTTTTTCCTTGATTAATATAAATTTGTTCCAATTGACTATCATTCCTGATACTATTTTTTTTTACTTTAATGAAGTCTTGATGATGAAGTTTCTTAAAGAAAGAAACGACACTTATGGATAACTGTCAATACTGAAAGTTCTTAATGTTTTTCATCCAGTATTTATATGTTTGAAATGTGCATTACTTGTCAATCTTTTCAGCTTTAAATCTGAAAACTGTTTATGATTTTCTGCTGGTGGTTTTTGTGTCAAGTGCATTGGTCAGCTGTTTATGATTTGCTGCTGGTGTTTTTTGTATTAATATAGTTCTTGTTAATGGATCTACAGTTTAGGCATGAAAGATTCATGGGGACCTTTAAAGGCTTTGGCAGTTGCCACGGCTATTAATGGCATTGGCGACATAGCCTTATGCAGATTCTTTGGATATGGTATAGCTGGAGCAGCATGGGCAACAATGGTGTCCCAAGTACGCCAAATATGCCTTCCCTTCCTCTAAATGAATTTGATCTGCTCTTCAACTCTCTGTCTCTCTCCCTCCCTCTCTCCATTTTCATACTCTTCATGGTAATATTCCTTGCTTACAAGCAATATTTTAGGTTGTTGCAGCTTATATGATGATTGCAGCCCTGAGCAAGAAAGGGTATAATGGTTTTGCCTTATCTATCCCATCATTTGATGAAGTTCTACAGATTTTCACACTTGCAGCACCTGTGTTCTTAACAATGATGTCAAAGGTTTGTTTGACTCAACTGCATTTTCGGCCTGTATGAATGTAGTTACTATGTTATGTATCTGATAGATCTTGAACTCCAGGTGGCATTCTACTCCCTACTTGTCTACTATGCCACATCAATGGGCACACACACTGCTGCTGCACATCAGGTTAGATTATGTGGACTAATATTATACATGTATTTTCTTTTTGCATCTTTCTAATGTAACGGTTAGATGAATGCTAACACTGACGTATTACTTACCTTATTAGGTCATGCTACAACTATTCTGCATATTTGCAGTATGGGGTGAGCCTCTCTCTCAAACAGCGCAGTCATTTATGCCTGAATTGTTGTATGGAGTGAATCGGAACTTGTCAAAGGTCATAAATTTATTTATGTAAAATTTACAATATCCTGTATTTATTTTCTTATTACCACTTCCAAGCTTGAAAAGCATAAAATTTTCCATTATGGGCGTGTTTGGTATGGAAGAAAACATTTCTTTTTCTATGTTTGGTTGGTCAAAATGTTTGGAAAATATTTTCTCTAGGAAAACAAGTTCCTTAAAAATAAGGAAAATGACTTCCCTAATGGAAGTAGGAAAAACAAATTATATAAGTGGCATTCTATGGTTATTGTCTCCTCCCCACCCACCCAATCCCCCAACCCCCATCCCTTGACCATCCCACCCCCACTCCCCATCCCATCTCGCCTCCATAGTGTTTTGCTAGACAACATATAAATGCTCTTTGGATAATATTTTTTTGCTTACTTACCAAACACTAGAAAATAAGTAAGAAACCCATTTGTTTTCCAAGAAAACATTTTCTAGGAAATCATTTTCCGTGGAAAACAATTTCCTTCATACCAAACACACTAATATATCTGTACAAACCTCTTCCTTGAGGAAAGCCCTGACATCCATGAAACTTTGACTGTGATGTCAATGTAAGCTGTTGTTTCTATTCATTCCCCGATCGACAACTTTAGAGTTGTGTCCATGCATATTTTTTGATAGGACATTCTAAAAGATGAACACTGTGAATCAGGCCCGGATGCTGCTAAAGTCCCTTTTGATCATTGGAGCATCAAATGGTTTAATACTGGGATCTGCTGGTGTGTCAATATCATGGTTTTTCCCCCAATTGTTTTCATCTGATCCTTTGGTCATACAAGAGGTTAGTTGCGTATAATATTTGTCTTTTTATATCCTGTGACTTTTCAATTTAGATGAAGTTCACAATGACACATCTCTTGGTCATGAGAATATTAATCCTCTCCACACTCTCTTTATTATGAATAATTTTGCTACTTGGAGCAAGCAGAAAAGATAAAGAAAGAAACACTGCATAAAATAAAAACAATGCAAAGGGGGAGCTGTGTGAGCCAAATAAAGATTTTATGTCGGTGAAAATAATTTTTTTCTGATCTGCTGATTGTTCTCACCTTCTGTTGGCACAGATGCACAAAGTACTGCTGCAATTATTTCTAACTCTCTGGGTGTCACCATGTGTTCATAGTCTTGAAGGAACCTTGTTGGTACGGTTTCATACTAACTCTAAATTATATTTTGATCATTGTAGATATTTTGGTTGATTATATCGAGTATTTTTATCTGAAAGTTCTGTTTATTTTGTTAATGTCTGCCATAAATTCAAGGAGTATGCTCTGTTTCCTTGGAATTTTTTTTATACCATTTCAAGCGTATTAAGGGGTAAATACGTAGGAGGGGCTAACTAGGTTGTGTTTATTTGCACTAGCAATTAGCTTTTTTCTTCATGAGGGTTTCATTTATTAACCATTTGCAAATTCAATATGTACTAGTATGTACATTAATTCCTACGAGAACATAATCCGACAATCAACGAATTGATTAATCCAAAAAACCGTAGAGAAGTTTTACCGTAAGGATGTGTAGTATGGTAAGATGTGTTTTAGTTTCTTGGGAAAAAGAGCAGCAGAGCCTCCTTCCGTTTCTTTTCCTTTTTCTTGTAGACGTTCAGCACCTACCCAAGAATATTTCCATCTTGTATATTGTTGAAGCCATTACCATTTGCCTTGTGATTCTTTACATTTATTTTTATCGTTATTGTATGATACTATATTTTTAATCTTTATTATTCTAGTTATGGTTTTTGAAGCCATATCTCAAGTCATTGATTATCTGATTACTTTTTAGGCTGGAAGAGACTTAAAATTTATCAGCATATCAATGACCGCCATATTTGGTTTAGCTTCTCTTCTCGTCATGGTAAGTCATTCCATTTATTTCCAATGAGTCCCCTCATGATATACAGTTTGCAAACTAACTTTTTTTTATCCCTGCTCACGAAGCTATATTTCTTAAATCTTTTTTCTGACAAAAACAATATTACTCACTTATTATTTTGCTCTCAAACAGCTCTTCAGCAGTAAAGGATTTGGTTTGACGGGATGCTGGTTTGCTCTAGTAGCATTCCAATGGGTAAATTCATTTCAGCCTTTCTACTCTTTGTTTGCTAAAACTGGCTCATGTTGTTTTCCATATTAACTTTCTTTTTCTTTGCAGACACGATTTTTGGTAGCTCTACGGCGACTCACTTTGGCGGATGGCATACTTTATTTGGAAGGCTCAGTTCATGATGAGTTTCATAAGTTGAAAGCTACGTAGGGGTTTAATATGCCCGAGACAAAAATGTCCACATAGAAAAGAAGTTTTTCGTTAATGATACAATAAACCGCAGGGGCTGCAGTGATTTATCATCAAAATCCAAATTTTGTTGTTACTAGTCAATATCAAGTTATTTGATCCACCATGTCATAACTCAAATGAGTTGAGAACGAATTATTATTTACTTATTTAATATTCGGAGCGCTATTGTAATACTACTTTTTTGGTATTGTAATATTCCTGAAAGCATTATTATGGTTTGTACATCCAAGTCCTGAGTTACCAATCTACTTGTTAATAAGCTGTGCAGTATTTGACATATAATTACTTTGAAGCGTGTGATTCGTCTAAAGTTACATCAACTAAACAAACATAAATAGAATGATGGGGTTTGCCCAGTGCAGTGACCACAAAAAGTCAGAACTATGATTACGAGACTGTAAAAAATTAAGGCATCAAGGACCCATGAATAGGGTCCACTATTCCCTTACAATGAGCCATGGGAGTATTGTGGTGGCTACTGCGGAAAGGAAATTAATAAATGAGCCACAATGAAAGATCAAACCCTGCTACTTCCTCGGCGACTACGAGCATATGATCTAGGTACCGGTCCTTTATCCTGCACATAAGGAGACCCCAAAATGAGCAAGGATGATCATGAAAGAAACAAAGGAGAACAATTTGTATTTATTTGCACTCAAGGGTGTTGCCTAGCGGTCATTGAACTTGATAAAAACAGTAGGAAACCAATTCAAAATTCTAATATGGACAAAAGGTGCTCATTTGTCCAAAGCCGCCTTAGGTAAATTACTTCGTACATGTCCATAGGTGGAAGTAGCATGTACCCGGTGTATAAGTGGAACCCAGTAAAATAGTGAGAGTTGCACAAAAGCTTAGCTAGGAAACCAGTGTTATAAAAGAATCTAGATAAATGAAAGATGACCTGAAATGATCGCCTCTCTGCATATTGTTTTTGTTTTTTCAAAAAAAGAATTTGAGCCTGTTTCTTCTTCTCTTCAGCTTTCATTTTTGTCAGGCTTGGACGGTAGAGAATCACAGTCCTACCAATTTGACCAACAACCACTGAGCCAGTTGCTTCCTCCAAATGCTTTACAACATCATCCAGCTCTCCTCCGGGACAGGTACCATGTATTTTGAGCTGCATATAACAATGAGGGCATAAAAAACAAACACAAGACCAATGCGTTTTATCACATTAACCAAAACTTAACACATTGCCAAGAAGATAATTGTGACTTTTCATCAACAGAGCTGAAACCGTGAGCGTTCACCTTAGTTGAAGTAAATTAAACTCTATTCATGTCCCACCGCGAAAGGCCCTTATTCATCAGCAGATCAACTTATGATCATCAATTTGAACATTTGTCACTTTTTCCAACACAAGACACATACTTGATAAAAATGAGCGTCTTGCTAAATGCGCTTAGCCTAAACATATATTTATTGATCAATATTTCTCACACTCCTAAGTGCTAATACAACTATCTATAAACAGATTTAAACCAATTACTAATTTAACAATGTCACAAGCATAACTAGCAACAGAATTTTCCCTCTTTTCTACACACCTCTGCTTGCTAGTAACCAGAATTATTAACCTCAACAACTTAATAAACATTCAGATAAACGCAATCTCATTGAAGTTATAACTATTCATAACATGTTTGTGCGAATTTGAGTTCCATGCTTTCATGATTTCAGCTAAAAAAACCTTTAAGCAATAGAGGAAGGAACTACAACACAGGAAACCATTTAGCAAGATCAATATCACTAATCAGATTACATACTTGTTACAATGTACAATATCAACAAACTAAAATGGCAGGCAAGCACAAACAGTTCCATCGTTTGAACAACATGCCTAAGTAAGATTCACAGCAAAATTAATAACCAAATTTTACCTATTTACTAGTATATCATCTCTACTTGTTACTTATCAAACATAAAAATCATCTACACTTGTTAAAAAGTCACTGTTCTTGTTTACTAATTCAGAACAATTTTTATTTATTTATTTATGAAGTTAAGGTCAGCACAATTTTAGCCCCCTTCGACCATAGATTTTGAAGTAGAAATATGAAAAATTGAGCTTCTGAAGTTGTGTTTGGACCGGCAATTTACTTGGAAAAAGAAGTTGAAGTTTTATTTGTGGAAGTCCAAAGAATACCAAAACTGGTGTGAGCCAATATTTTGGAAACTTGAAAAAATATTCAAATTTCATGGCCAAATATATATTTGAAGATAAAATTTTCAAAATCTGATACAAAATCTATGACCAACTGCTAGCCAAAAGTTCTGACGGCCAATTTCGCAACAGAAAAAAAAAATCGCACTGATTTGAAGATAGCCTTTCCAGGCATAACGATTCACTATAAACCCTAAACCCTAACTAGTTGCCCAAATATTTGAGTAAATTGTATGCCAACAGCAAAAAATTGAGAAAATGTACCTTGAGAAGCTCATTAGCTTCAAGAGTCTCCTCTAAAGCCATTACCACAGTATCAGTAACACCAGATTTGCCAACCTGTTGGCTCTTTAGCTTCTTCCCTAAACTATGTGCATACGATGCCAATTCTTTCTTCTCCTTCACAGTCAGGTTCGGCAATTTCGCCCTTAATATTTTTCTCTCAGACTCACTAGGCCTGGGGGCAGTAACTTCTTCATTTTCTTTTACAATTTCCTCGTCTTCCACATCCTCAGAAGATTCCAAGAGAGCTTGAGAAGTACAGCTAATTGGAAGGTTCGAGAAAGTTCTAGAACGAAGGAAGATTGATGTATGGGTCCGAAGAGAGGGGAAGAAGGAAGGAGAATTGTTGGTGATGGGATGAAGTGACGTCGTTTGATGGGGGAAAAGAGAGAGAGATTGCTTAAGGAAGGAGAAAGAAAGGATGGGAGCGGGTCGGAGCAGGCGATGGAGAGCCATGGAGGAAGAGGAAGAAGATAACATTACACTACTCATTTGCTCAACGCAGCGACATCATTTTGCTTTGTAATTTTATTTTATTTTTATATTATTACTCCCTCTTTCTAATTTATGTAATTAGTTTAACTTGATATAAGAAAAAATATTTTTTAAATTTATAATTTAAAGTAAGTCATCATAATTCATATTTATGTTGCTATAAGCTAATTAATCAATTAAGACTTTATAATTGAATGAAATATATGTATGTATATATATGTTTTTGTTCGAGTTCATTGTAAAAATTAAAATATTTGTTTTCTTAATTTGAACCGTGTGAATATTGTAAAATAGATTAGTTAATATAATTAGGTAGTAACTATAACAGGGTGGGTGTTTGGTCTAGTGGTATGATTCTCGCTTCGGGTGCGAGAGGTCGTGAGTTCGATTCTCGCAACACCCCCCCATAACAGCTATTTCTTTCTTTTTTTGTATTCTTCTTGTGTGTGAACCACTTAAATGTTCATTTTCTCATAAAATTTAATATTTTATTGTTGTTTAATAATCGGTATTTCAAAACTCATGGTCTAAATTAATTTAAATTTATGCCACGTGAAATCTATTTAAGTGAAAAATGTTTGAATATGCAACTTTTAATTTTGAAATTGAGAAATTTATCCATATCATCACATTAATAGTTGTTGATAACCATTTAATCTTTGGGAAAACTACACAAATTGGACCAATTAATGAAACTATTTACTCAAGTTAGACTCAACACGAACTATTCATCCTTAATGAATCCACATCCCAAATTATTTACGGCTATATACCCTGATAATATCAAACAGTAACCAGTAGTGTTTTTTAGTACTAATAATATAATAAATTTCAATGTAAAAAATAATATAAAAATCATTTGAAATATGAATTCTTTTTCTGGATGGATGATATGATAAATCACTGATATTTTGTTTTTGTGTTCTAAAATAAATTAATCAATATATTAAGTAATCGATTACATAATTTGAATCAAATTTTGTTCTTCTTGTTTTGTTCTGGTTTTTGTCAATGATGTGAATGATTTTGGGAGAGCAATTTAACTTCAAAAAGTAACAAAATAGTTTTGTTCTGATGTATGTCAATGATGTGAATGATTTTCCTTGGCTAAATGATTCATTGATGGTGGGAGAGCAATTTAATTTCAAAAAATAACAAAGTATTTTTATATTTATATATATATACATATATGCAACTTCCCCATAGTTTCAATTTCCCTCATAATTATTACCGTAAAAATTGAATCCAAACTTCCCCTCCCGATGAATGGACATAATCTTCAATTCATAACTTTTAAAAACTTCACTTTCAACATCAATCATTTCTCGATGATCACCAACACAAATTAGAAACAATTATCTTCAAATAACTGCATATATTATTGCTCCAGAAGTCCAGAGACGGAGTCAAGATTAGGAGTTTGGGGTACACATATTAATATACATATATTTGTTTTTAATTTTCTAATCTAAATATAGAATCTATGAAAAAACTAGTGAATTTGTCTGAACCCATGAATTCCCACCTAGCTCTGCCTTTGTCCACAACCAGATGACAACCAGACCAAATCAACTTTAACATCCTCAGCTCAAGCAAGAATAGAAAAAAAAAAAAAAAAAAGGCAAATGATATGTCATAGGCATATATAGAAAAAAAGGCAATCTCAGAGATTTCTTAGGTGCAAGTTTCCACCCCTCAATTTCTTCTACCAGCTCCCTAAAGTTAGGGTTTCTTGAGAATATCTGAACAAGATGGAGTGACTTTGTATTCACCTACAGTAATCATTTGTACCGATTCCCCAGAACCATCTCTCGGAGGACTAAACTGAACTGGCAGAAACTCTTCTGATTCACATACGAATCTTGTGTTCTTGAAATGGTTCACTAAAGCCTCTTTTCCCTGTTAAGTAGTAATAGAAATTTCACATAAAAAAATCACAAACTTAATTGGTTTATTTTAGAAATTTAACATTGACGCACCTGGATCTTCGCAGTGACAATCTTGACCGCCCAAGTAGATCCCGGAAACACATTTAGTTTGTCAAAAACCTCAAAAAAATTCCACACAGTTCTCTCATCTGTGAAATTCACAAATGCATAACCTTTGTTCATCTTGCTTCTGCAAATGAAAAAAAAAAAAAAACTAATAGTACTGAAGTGGCTATACTTTACTGCAAATAAACACAAGAAAAATAATTATTTACTTGAAATCCATAGGCAAATACAAGAAATCATAAGCAAAGATATGAATATTTTCTCCATTTGAATCTCTAGCTTTTTGATTCTCCAGTAAGCAGTGCTCGTCCAGAAATTGCATCAACATTTCACGGCTGTAAAGAAAAAATGAAATGAATTAGTCATCAAATTCAAAGAGCTACCAGATAACTAAACGACAAAGATAAATGATATGCCACTAGAGAGTCAAACCATTAACTTTTGTTATAATCAACTTCCCAGAAAAAGTAATCTGAACAATCAAAGAGATTAAAATTACTTGTAGTCATATGGAATATTCTTAATCACGATAGTAGTCACGTTCTTATGGCTCCTACTTATAGGAATTACACCGTATTTCATCGGGCCGTCGGTTCTCGACCACTCCCCACCTCTGATTCCCTTGATGGATGGAGAAAATTTTGTTCTAGCGACATAATCATTTATCAATCTAGGAGGAATATTCAACCACGGGTGTTCCAGCAATGGTGGTCGCACATTCTCCCGTGGTGGTGAATCAACGGTAGGAGGAGGAGGAGGAGGCGGTGGCGGAGTGGAAATAGGTATATATTCGGATGCATGCGGGTTCAACAAACTCTTACCAACAGTAGCCATGGAGGTACAATTGATAAAATTGAAGTGATTTTGAAAGAAAAAAAAAAAAACTGTTTGGTTGTTTCTTTTAGAGTATATGAAAAAGTGACACAGATTTGAACAGAAAAATGAAAGAGACAGTGATAGTTAACATAAAAGGCAGGATAATACTGCAATAAAAAAGAGGAGAACAGTGTCTAGCTTATTTAGTGTAAAAAAATTAAATTAATTGCAAAAAACAAATTTATTATAATAAGTTATATATTTTGTTTTCCATATATTTATTTAAAAGAGTTATTTATTATCGTAAGTAATTTATGAAGAGATTATGTAGTTCGGATTTCATTCATCTTGAAAAGGAAAAAATGTGATGAGATAGACGGACTTCAGTATTCATTCTTAAGAAAAAATTTCAAGTCCGGATCACAAAGAATAGATTTCAAATCCGGATCACAAAGAATGAGAACATTTATTGTAATTAAAAAATATTTTCCCTTTAATAAGATTGGGATCGAACCAAAATAAAGTGAAGATAAAATAAAGTGAAGATAATGCACTTGTATCTTAAATTTGAAAGGTGATAGATAAGTAACGTACAATTTTTGCTAGTAGTTTTGAAAATAGAACTTCAATTAACTTTTTTTAAAAACAAAATTATATTTGAATTAGTAAATGATAGAGAAAACATTTTAAGCTAATCGTGCATTATGTTTATACACAAGTGAAATACTTAGGTGATTTACAAATAACAAAAGAATCAAATCTCTCTATTCTTCTAGTAGTGGTTGATTCTCATGTATTTTTACAAAGTTAAACTGATCTCTAGTGTGTATTATTTCTTATTTTAGGTCCTTGATGATGAAAGTGTTTTTTAACCTCTACATTAGGGAGACGAATTATATGTTTACCTCCATATATTTCTCTATTCATAGAGTACATTAAATGAACAAAAATGAGTATAACAACTTCTTTAATGTGTCAAAAAAAAAGAAAAATAAATAAATAAATATATATATATTAGAGGAGTAACATCCCTGCTAGGCTATACTGAACTTCATTATTTCATAAACGAAAAATACAACAACAAAGGTGGAACCCATCACCTGCTACTCAATTGATTGATCGGATTATCTGAGAGATTTCTCAGGTGCCAGTACTCCACCCCTAAAATCCATTGATCGATCGGATTATCTGGAGTGACTTTTTAATGCCCCCACAGTAATCATTTGCACCCATTCCCCATAACCATTTCTTGGAGAATTAAACCAAACTGGTAGAAACCTTTCTGATTTACACATAAATCTTGTATTCTTGAATCGGTTCACTAAAGCATTTTTTCCCTGTTAATTAGTAGTAGTAGAAATTTCACATCAAAAATCACAAACTTAATTAATAATTTATACCTTTATTTTTGAAATTTAACAATCACGCACCTGGATCTTCGCAGCGACAATCTCAACACTCTTTACAGATCCTGGAAACACGTTTAGTTTGTCATTAAAAGCCCAAAAAAAATTCCACAGAGTTCGGTGATCAGTGAAATTCACAAATGCATAGCCTATTGTCACGTCCCGCCACTTCACAATGAAATTTGGCGTCCGGATAGGGGCGGAAGGGTCTAGAGTTGTGGAGAGGTTTCCGGAAGACTCTAGAACCCTTTGGATATTTCAAGAAGGTTTTGGAAGGTCCTAGAGTATGTAGAGAATTCTAGAGAGGGACTAGATATTTTCTAAGAAGTCTTTAGAAAATCTTAGAAAGTGTAGAATTCTCTAGAAAGAGGACCAAAGTGTAAATAAGTTTAGGGACTTAGAAAGTAATTTAAAATTGTACTTTAGTCCCTAGGAGTTAGTATAAATAGG